TAAACTCAAATGAACATGCTTAAAACTGCTTGGGTAAAATTGAGACAAAACGTTGAGACATTGAAATTGACTTATAAACACTTATAAGATATGCTAAAATGTGCTAGTGTGAATTTTGTGTGGAGTCTTTTAAGATAAGAGAAACAATAAACTCACAATATTTATGATAATTTTATGCCTTTTCGCATGCTTTTAAAATCCTGAAAGCTCTATTTGCTGTAATTCTCTTAAAAAAATAATCAACAAAAAGAGAATAACAAGTGCATTCTGCAAAACTCTTCCTTTTGTGCTCAAGGGAGGGAAAAACAGGCAGGAGTGGATGATGGCAGAATTTAGCATTTAATTTGATGCATGGCACATTTCCTTCTCAGACGGTGGCCAAACTTTCAATTTCTGTCTAAACAAGCGAACCCAAAACAGCGAAAAGACAGAATTACCCAGCACATGCAATTCCTCATGCATTTGCATCTTTATTCAGGCTTTAAAAGGAGCTTTAGGGGTTAAACCATCAAACGCATTCGAGGAACAACATTTTCCTCTGACCCCTGATGTTTGACCCTAAATGTGTTAATTTAATATTTGCTTAGTGAACAAAAATCTCAGTGTGTGTGTGTGTGTGTTTTATTTAATTCTTGTGCATTGTTCAAACTGACTACCCTTTTGTTGTGTTTGGGATTAATTTTTTTCAATTTCATTTTCTTTTGAATTTTGAATTTTTTAATTGACGTCAAAACAAATATATATGTTGTTTTAATCCAGGATTTTGACTATTTAATAGCCAAGTTCATGATATCACTGATTTTGGGAAACACACACACACATACAATATGACTTATTTTCAACATAATAGACAATTGTAGATTGGATGTATTGGTACTTTATACAGTGCATCCTGAAAGTATTCATAGCGCTTCACTTTTTCCACATTTGTTTATGTTACAGCCTTATTCCAAAATGAATTTAATTAAATTATTTCCTCAAAATTCCACACACAATGCCCCATAATGACAATGTGGCAAAAGTAACATTGTTGCAAATTTATTACTAATATGGCCTCCATCATCTGTAAGTGGAAGATGTTTGGAACCACCAGTGGCCCAGCCAGAGCCCAGACCTATATCCTATTAAACATCTCTGGAGAGATCTGAAAATGGCTGTCCACCATCACCGTCACATCCAACCTGATAGAACTTGAGAGGTACTGCAAAGAGGAATGGGCAAAAATTCCCAAAGACAGGTGTGTCAAGCTTGTGGCATCAGATTCAAAAAGATTTGAGGCTGTAATTGCTGCCAAAGGTGCATCAACAAAGTATTGAGCAAAGGCTGTGAATACTTCTGTACATGTGATTTTTCAGGTATTTTATTTTATTTGCAACATTTTCAAAAAAATATTTTTTTCACAATATTTTTTTGTCATTATGGGGTATTGTGTGTAGAATTTTGAGGAAACAAATGAATTTAATCCATTTTGGAATAAGGCTGTAACATAAACAAATGTGGAAAAAGTGAAGCCGGTGTCCTGCAGATTTTTAACCCGAATCAGACAGGTATATTAGAAACTTCCAGACAGGTGAAGGTAGTTTGATCATCAGTTCGATCCCAGCTCAGAGCAGGTTTGGGTGGCATAGGACCAGCAGGGTTACAATGGTGCCATGACCCGGATGGGAGTGAGGTTTAGGGGGGTGAGTGTAACAGTAAAGTGCTTTGCAGGTAAACCTCACTCCTCTGACCCCTAAAGGTGCTCAAGTGACAGATGCTAGAGGCCATGGTTTTGAGCCTCCTTGTTAGAGCAACCAATTCCCATGCAGAGAGACGCCGGTTTGATCCCAGATTGGAGAAGGTTTGGGTGGCATAGCATAACTAAGATTGTAGCATAGTAAATTTCCCCAGAGTGTATTGTTGTTGTTTTTTTATTATTCTTTTCAAAACATTGTCCTAAAATATGTGTCAAGATAAGATTTGTCACCAAAAGTCATTCCATTTGTTGAAACACAGAGAAAGTTGTGGCCAAATTAAGACCACAATATATATATATATATATATATATATATATATATATATATATATATATATATATATATATATATATATATATATATATATAGATATATATATACCTACAGATGCATTCCGTTACCATTACCACAATCATCTGTTTAAATGAAGGCTTATATTTAATAGTTATTATTATATCTTATCACTGGGTGTTCTTGTAAGATATTGGGCATTTAACATAGCATACAACATTCAAAGACGTATGCAATCAAGGTATAATAATAATTACATTAGTCTCCACACCGTTGTACAATAAAATTCAGTTTTTTATAAGTGCACTATGCAGTTTTGCTTCTTTTTTTTCTCTCTTTCTCTTTTGTTTTGTGTTTACCTCGTTTCTTCGATGTAGACGGACTCCAACACGGATGCAGCATATTCTAGGTTTTTCTTCAAGTCGACAACAGAAGCCTCCCCTCTCTCCAATTGCTTCACCAAACATCTCAGTCTGAAATGGAAAAAGACAATTCGATTAGGAAAAAAGATATTTTGGGGATTTAATAGGCCTTTTGTATCTTTTGCATAAGACAGTGAAGAAAAAAAACTGAAAACATATAACACTCTTAATGTTTGTTCCAAAACATTGCATTTTATTTTTATTATTTTGGACATTTCTACTGTAACCAAATAAGCAACGTATCCCTAATGTCATCACTAAATTTGGGAGTTAAGCATGGATAAAAAGATGGACGTTCGGTGGGCAAATAACATTGAAATGAAAGAAAATTTAAATTGGGCTCAGAGTTGTTAGTGAATGCTGACTACACTATTATAGTAGATAGCTGACAAACTTAAATATGTTTTTTTTACTTACAGTTTTAACACTGACAAGTACAACCATGTTTGTAGTTTTAAAACAGTGTGTATTTAATATCAATAATTTCTAAATTAACATTGAGAAAGTCATTCAAAATTGGGTTCAACAATTATAATAAAAAATCACACTAAGTAAAAAGGCAGATGGATGGATGTATACTATATATAAAAGTTATAGATAGATCGATAGATCGATAGATAGATAGATAGATAGATAGATAGATAGATAGATAGATAGATAGATAGATAGATAGATAGATAGATAGATAGATAGATAGATAGATAGATAGATAGATAGATAGATAGAAAGATAGGCAGGCAGGCAGGCAGACAGACAGACAAACAGATATACGGATAGACTGATAGGTGGATAGATAGATAGATTAATAGATCGATAGATAGATTAAAACAGTTTGAAGATGGATGGATGGATGGATGGATGGATGGATGGATGGATGGATGGATGGACGGACGGACAGATATAGACAGACAGACAGACAGACAGACAGACAGACAGATAGATAGATAGATAGATAGATAGATAGATAGATAGATAGATAGATAGATAGATAGATAGATAGATAGATAGATAGATAGATAGATGATAGATAGATAGATAGATAGATAGATAGATAGATAGATAGATAGATAGATAGATAGATAGATAGATAGATAGATAGATAGATAGATAGATAGATAGGCAGACAGAAAGACAGACAAACAGACAAACAGACAGATATACGGATAGACTGATAGGTGGATAGATAGATTAATAGATCGATAGATCAATTAAAACAGTTTGTAGATGGATGGATGGATGGATGGATGGATGGATGGATGGACGGACGGACGGACAGATATAGACAGACAGACAGACAGACAGACAGACAGACAGACAGACAGACAGACAGACAGACAGATAGATAGATAGATAGATAGATAGATAGATAGATAGATAGATAGATAGATAGATAGATAGATAGATAGATAGATAGATAGATAGATAGATAGATAGATAGATAGATAGATAGATAGATAGATAGATAGATAGATAGCCTATATAACAATGTAGGTTTAATAAAAAAATTATACAAAAACAAAACAATAAAAAATACTGAATCAAGTCAAATCAAGTCGTGTTGTCATGAGAACTGTACACTGCCAACTTCATCATGTCAGACATCCAGAAGAAACAAACAAACCAATTGACATTTCGGAAAGGAAGTGCTTAAAGCACAAACAGTTCGAGTCTAGTTGAAGTTTACAGCAACTTAAAAAGTCGTTAAAAGTCCCAAACTGTGAGACGAACATTTCTTTCTGCTGAGTGCGTTTGAGGCAAAGGATTCATCCATCACATTTATTGCTAAATATGATACAAGTGCTTCTTGTTGCTGACCGTCTGCAGATTCTCTTTACTACAGAGGAATAAAACCATCCACTCTATGCTGATTCTGACAAAGTGTTCAGCTGTTATCTCACAAACTAAATGTATATTATAATAAAGAGAGTTCCGGTCCTCGATGACAAGATCTGAAAGTGCTAAATTCCATAATATCATAACAGCTACACCATAAAACACCTGCTATGTATTTAGCAGCTAATAGAAACACACTCCCCTCGAAAATGGCCAACAAGTCATGGAGGAAAACAAAACTATATATTTTCTTAATTATAAATTGCACTATAGGGGTCGCACGGTGGCTCAGTGGTTAGTACTGCTGCCTCACAACAAGAAGTTCACTGATTTGAGTCGTGTTTCCTCCAGGTGCTCCGGTTTTCCCTCACAGTCCAAAGACTGGACTGTGGATTAATTGAATAAGCTAAATTGGCCGTAGTGAATGAGTGTGTGAATGAGAGAGTGTATGGATGCTTCCCAGAGCTGTGTAAAACATTTGCTGGATAAGTTAGCGGTTCATTCCGCTGTGGCGACCCCTGATAAATAAGGGGCTAAAATGAAAGAAAATGAATGAATGAATGAAATTGCACTCTATGAAGATAAGTGTCCAACAATGATAATAAATTGCTCTGTTGCTCTTTGCATATTAATCAGCAGTTTTTCTTAGTTTTTCCTGTCACACCATAGTAAGTCTTCATTTACTGACCTTTTACTTGTTTTGAACCTTTATGAATTTCTTCTGATGAACACAAAAGAAGATATTTTTATGAAAGCTGGAAACCTGTAACCTGTGACTCAGTGTTTGTTTTTTTCTACAATGGAAGTCAATGGTTACAGATTTTGAGCATACTTCAAAATATCTTTTTTGTGTTCAACAGAATAAAAAAACTAAAAAAGGTTTGGAACCAAGGTTTGGGAGAGTAAATAGTGATTATATTGTCACATTTGGTGAAAACAAGTAAAACAAATACATACAAATAAAAAAAAAAAAGTTAATAACATCAATGTGTCAGATTTCACATCTAACATACTGTAGTAGGCTACCCTATATGTTAAATAAAATATCATATATTTAAGAATAATATTTTATATATTTTTAACCAGGGCGAGGCAGTGGCGCATTAGGTAGCGATGTCGCCTCACAGCAAGAAGGTCACTGGGTTGCTGGTTGCAAACCTCGGCTCAGTTGGTGTTTCTGTGTGTAGTTTGCATGTTCTCCCTGCCTTCGCGTGGGTTTCCTCCCGGTGCTCCGGTTTCCCCCACAGTCCAAAGACATGGGGTACAGGTGAATTGGGTAGGCTAAATTGTCCATATTATATGAGTGTGTGTGTGGATGTTTCCCTGAGATGGGTTGCTGCAGGAAGGGCAGAATCCGCTGCATAAAACCTCGCTGGATAAGTTGGCGGTTCATTCCACTGTGGCGACCCCGGATTAATAAAGGGACTAAGCCGACAAGAAAATGACTAAATGACTATTTTTAACCATAACTGTCCACAAAATTATTTGTATTATTTATTTGTATTATATTTTTATCACAAAAAAATCACAAACAAATCATGAAAAGCTACCTATTGGTATTAGAATTTTATAGAGACATGCAAGAGCAAAACAATTTTATGAAAATGTATTATACCCATAGACATCACCTTTTTTGAAAGGAGACTGTTTAACTGCATGTTTATATACTGTCCACCCCATACACCAGGGGTGTCCAAACTCGAGGGCGTTGTCCTGCATATTTTTGTTCCAACCCCAATTAAACACACCTGAACCAGCTAATCAAGCTCTTTCTATGTATACTAGAAACTTCCAGACAGGTGCAATGAAGGTAGTTTGAGTTAAACCATCCAGGACACTGGCCCTCCAGGACTGAGTTTGGACACCCCTGCCGAACACAATTTCTTAAATAGGACCTATTATGGAAAAATCACTTTTATAAAGAGTTTAAACACTGTTGTGTGGCAACATTATGTGCATATTGCCAACCTCTAATGATAAAAATTATTTAATTTAATTATTTATAATCACACTTCATGAGGACGTGGGAGAAAGAGGGGGAAAGCCCTGCCTATTAGTGACTATCTCTCCCTCATTAGCATAAACAGTCTTGAGTGATAAGCAGCTGTCCGTCATTACAGTGTTTGTGCCATAACTCACAAAGAAAATGTCAGTGACTAAGAAACATTATAAATGAAGAGTTTAAATATATGAACACTGTAGTCTCCATTGTCTACCTTCTTCTGAGACAGTTCTTTCAACATTTTCAGTTTTTCACAGATAACTTTAGTCAAGTTTGAATCTGCCACCATGCTGAGGCATAGTTGTCTGTAGCTCCGCCCTCTTTTGGAAAGAGCACTATCTCATTTGAATTTAAAGCGACAGTCACCAAAACAGCCCAGTTAGGATCAAAGCCTAAAAGGGGCAGGTTCAAAGAGTTAGAAAACATATGAGGGGCATTTTGAGTTGAAACTTCATATACACACTCTGGGGACCTCAGAGATTTACTTTACATCTTGCAAAAAGGGACATTCCCTTAAATTTTTCAGATTTTGACTGTAATTTAATAATGTGCGCCTTTTGTTAAGCTGCTTTGGAATGATAATTATTGTGAAAAGCGCTACACGAATCAACTTGAATTGACTTTAACCTTTGAAACTTTGCAGACATTATCCACACACTAACAGAGAAAGTGAAACATAAAAACACATCGTATGACCTCTTTAAAAAAAAATGGTTTTTGTATTTTGGATTCCCACTGGTGCCCCATGAAGTCCCTGGCATCACAATGAGTGAAGTGTTGTGCTTCTGCAGCATCTCTGAAGTGAAGCAGGAGCTTCAGTCATGTGGACAGAGGGCCACATCACATCTAAAGGCCAACGCTGATGTCCCAGGTGTGAGCAGCACAGAGATGTCTGCATGTTTGCATGAACGGAGAACAGGGGAAACACATTTGACCCAGTTCCCATCCCTAATGACCGGCCCGCGCCAGCCAAAGCAGCATGAGGGATGGAGAAGAGGGAAAGCATGCAGGCAGTGCCCTGTGGGCTTTACAAACTCACAGATCTGATTCATGTTCATGAGCTGGATTTAGAATCTGTTGATGAGAGTTTTGAATAGACGCTGTTTGTATATTTGGAAAATACCAAGACTGCATTGCGAATCTAGAAAATATTCGGCATCAATTATCTGAATGCATTACCATTATGTTTCATTCATTTTCTTGTCAGCTTAGTCTA